GTGAATTTTAAGCCATAATCATTATTGCCGATGTAATCCAAAAATAACTGCAGTTCTTTATGTGATCCTTGCCAAATCATTATAACGTCATCAATAAAACGTTTCCATATGACGTTATAATGATTTGGCAAGGATCACATAAAGAACTGCAGTTATTTTTGGATTACATCGGCAATAATGATTATGGCTTAAAATTCACTTGTGAGATAGACCCCATTACAATTAATTTTTTAGATGTCTGCTTTTTTGTTGAAAATCAGACTGTATAGTCTAAATGTTATTTTAAAAAAACTGATGGTAACAGTTACATACATAGAAAAAGTTGTCACCATGATAAATGGTTGGAGACTATCGCAAGAAGCCAACTAACAAGAATACGACGAAATTGCTCAAGAGACATAGATTACCATGAACAGGCCAAACATTTGAAAAATAAATTTTTAACTAAAAAATATAAATTAGCACCATTGGAGAAAGAAATTCAAGAAATTGAAAAGAAAGATAGGAAAAGTCTTTTGAAACCAAATCCAAAGAAAACAATCCCAAAAAAAGATTATCAATTTTCGTTTATTACACAATATAATACACAACATTGGAATATAAAAAAGATTTTAAACAGACATTGGGATATTTTGTGCAAAGACCCCATATTAGGAAAGGTACTCCCAAAAAAAGCACCAATAATTTTCAAAAAAACTAAAAATTTGAAAAATATATTAGCTCCAAGCTACGCATTAAAAATCGGACGTAAAGGTACACTCTCTAATATTAAAGGTTTTAATCCTTGTAATTCATGTAAGGCTTGCAAGAACCAGAGGTATATACAGAAAAAAGAATTTATAAGTACAACTACTAAAGAGAAATTTAAAGTTAAATCTAATATAAATTGCAACTCTAGGTATGTGGTCTACCTGCTACAGTGCCTATGCGGGAAACAGTATGTGGGAAGAACGGGTCGAAAATTGAAAGAGAGAATTTTGGAACATCAAAATAATATTAGGAAAAAGTCAACAAAACATATAGTACCGATTCATTGCACTAGTTGCAGGAAATTTAATTGGAATAATTTTTCCTACATGGGTATAGAGCGGGTTGACCCTTATTGGAGAGGGGGCAATTTAATGAAAAAGCTCTCGCAAAGGGAGACTTTTTGGATAAACAAATTAAAAACGTTGCAACCAGATGGGTTGAATTTGGATATAGACCTATGGAGCTTTTTTGAAAATTAATACGATGTAGGTACCTTTTTGCACCACTAGTGTAAATGTTGCATTTTTTCTATATATTTTTTATGGCATAGATGGTAAAATAATTTCTCCACATCATGAGTACCAGTAGTAGAATATTTTTGTATCATTAAATTTAAATGGGTTTTGGGATAGATAAATTGTCCTCTTATGTATTCTGAAATTCATCGAATTCTTATTACATCAAATTTATATATACTGAGATTTATTGAATTCCAACTACATCAAATTTATGTTTACAGATTTTTAATCTGCATTCTAAGATTTTACATTTTTGGATTCAATTAAACTTCAATCATATGTATACTTTTTTCCATTCATCAAATTTTATTTAATTTTTTAATATAATTTATTTTATTCTAAGGATAACTTTAAAATCAACAAACTGTTCTCTGCGGGATGTCTTTGACATTCCACTAAAAGAAAAAAGAGGATAGGGGATGGATCGAATTCTATTTTTTATATTTATGGAATTCTATCCTATATTTTATAATTTAATTTAATTTCTTAATCTTATCCAATGATAACGTTAAAATTAATAAATCTCCTTTTTGGGATGCTTTCAATATTCCATCAAAGGAAAAAAGAGGAGAAAAATAATAATGTATGGATACTTTATATCTTTTGGAATATTTGAAAAAATGCAACATAAATTGGGATATCACGTTTTGTCCACCTTATAAGTGTGTGTGCTCTATTTTTATTCTTATTTTTATTTATTTTCTTTTTATTTTTACTTTATTTTTATATTTCATTTTTTTATTTTTTATTTTTATTTCTATTATTATTATTTATTTTTATTTAGCCTTTTTATATTATTTATTTATTTCTGTTATTTTTGTTATGTTAGTTTGTTTATTTACTATTATATATCTTTATTTGATTTTAATTTGATCTATGTACACACATATTATACAGTGTATATAGTTTTATTGTGATTAAGTATAATTAGGCTGTGTTAGTTATATATATTTGGAATCTTGTAGTACTGTTTGAAGTGTATAATCCTCCCTTTTCCCTCTCCCCCCCCTTTCTTCTTGCCTCCGATCCATGTATATTAAATCTGCCTCTAATGAGAGGGACTTGGAATAGAAATACGTGATTCATACATAGAAGGCATAAAGCACTTCCGGGTTTCGGCAGTGGAACGCATGGTGGAACGCATGCGAAACCGACGGACGCATGAGGATGACGTCATAGATATCGGCCGTCGAACTGAAATTTCAAGCACCTGATTTGGATGAAGAGTTTTGTGGACATTGGGGGAGGTATAAAGGGTGGTGAAGGGAAGGGTTGTTTATTGTTCATTTGTATGCTGTCATTTCTGGTCACTGAAGTCCCTGAGGAAGTCCTACATACGGACGAAACGCGTAGGACCCCTGGTGGTGACAGTGAGATTACATCCATTGTTTTATATTTAGATGTAAGTGATTAAATTATTTTTTCTACATTTTTAAATATGTACTACAAGTTCTGTTTTTTTCTTTGAGCACACACCTTTTAACTGTTCCATGAGAGTTTAAAAGTGGTGGAAGAATCATTCCTGAAAGGGCATTTATGCTGAAAAGAGCAATTTATTTTGCGGAAAAGAGCAATTTAGTTTCAAGGCATTTCTATTTCAACGAAAGTGTGAGTGGCCATTTGAAAACTACACATTTGGTTTATTCATATACATAGTTATGCGCTATGCACTGTTCTTGTTATTTGTTTAGCAGATCATCCCCTTTTTTTCTATACATGTTCTGTTGAAGACAGGAGGAAGTCTTCGGGGAAATCCTACCTGATTCAGGGAGGTTTTTTTTTTGCTATTTATCTGTTGAGCACTTATTGCACTGTGGTTTGTGCACACATATTGTTTTTTGTATCTGAGAATATCATTTTGCCTCTTTATAAATCACTGGTAAGACCACATATTGATTATGCTGTGCAATTTTGGGCACCTGTTTTAAAGAAGGATAATATGGCACCACTAGAAAAAGTACAAAAAAAGTGAAAAAAGGAATGGAACATACCAGCTATGAAAAAAGGTTAACAAATTTAAACCTCTTTAGTTTAGAAAAACAGCTCCTGAGAGGGGATATGATAACATAATAAAAATATATTCGGGGCCAATACAAACCATTGTGTGGAAATCTATTCACAAACCAGACTTTACATAGGACACGAGGTCATGCGTGTAGACTGGAAGAAAGAAGATTTCGTCTAAGGCAAAGGAGAGGTTTTTTTTTTACTGTAAGAACCATAAGCATGTGGAATTCTCTGCCTGAAGAAGTGGTTTTATCAGAGTTCATACAGATGTTCAAACAGCAACTAGATGCATACTTGCAAAAACAGAATATTCAAAGATTTAATGTTACAATTTAGGGTAATAGCTTCTTGATCCAAGGATAAATCTGACTGCCATTCTGGTTTCAAGAATTTTTTTTTTCCTAGTTTGTTGCAAAATTGGAAGTGCTTCAAACTGTGTTTTTTTGCCTTCTTTTGGATCAAGAGCAAAAAACAAATGTGAGGAAGGCTGAACTTGATGGACGCAAGTCTCTTTTTAGCTATGTAACTCTTTTTATCATGTGGTCAGTGCATTAATTGGTGTTACTATGGTTACTGAAACATGTGCACTTAGTGGTTACGTTTCTTCCTGTTTAGTGGCTGAAATGTCCTCACCCATGCGTCTGTCACAATAAAAGGAGTGTGACTATTAAGAAGGTGCGCTGGACCACATTCTTTCACTTTTCTTTGGGAGTACAGATTTGGGGGTCTATAGCATCATTCGAAGGTGTAATGATATACAAGTCATGCCCAAACACTGCCATTCCTTTATACTATATTTAATTATTCCTGTCCTAAATCAGTTTAGATGATGTAAATAAACCCATAGGAGATGTTGACATGGATAAGCTACTCTTTACAAATGGCGAAGAATGGTGGGATAGGCCTATAATGTAAAGCTACATACATACATCAATTATATTACATTCGCTGGGCTCCTGGTTTAATCCTGCCTGCTTCATACAACTCACTTCTTATAGAAGAGCATTGGCATCTACTCTTACTGCCTCTGACTTGGCCAATTCACCAATTAATTAACTGGAAATTCCATCTATATAATTAACAGCAAAATATACACCCCCAATAAGATAGAAGCTACAAAGGGGGTTCTGGCAGCCTGGTTAGAGCATCGCACTACCACCATCCCATGAGACCAGTGTCCTAATAAAGACCACCCTTCTAATCCAAGACAGTAGTTACCATGTATCATTTGAAAATGTAATCCCCTTGGAAATCTTGGACCCTTTTTAATTGTTTAAAATAGAATTCTTAAATATTTGTGTTGATTAGATAAAAAACATGTGGATGGGGATATTGAAACGTACTTTTTTTTTTTCTTTCTAATCCTCCATTAAGTTCCCCCCAATACTGCAAATTTATCAAAATACCCTATGTGGAATAATCTGCTAAAGGGCTTTTAAATATACATCACAGCATTATTTGCTGTCCCTGCATACTGTTAATCTATAGAAAACGTTGCACACAACATAATATTCATATTTTCTGGCATAATATGCCTGACAACATCCAACTAGAATTGGAGCTGGAACTTGTTAAATTCTGGCTATGCTGCATTGTTTGGGGTGGGTTTATTTTTTTTTTTTTTTTTATTAAACCATTGCAAGCTACAAAACGAACAAGTAACTTTTGTCTAGCAGCATTGGACTTGGAATTTTGAGTCCTGCTTATAGGATATGGGGATACACTATTCAGAACAAGATCCGCTTATAAAAGGTGGTTTAGATGAAAAAGTCAATACTGATGAGCCAAGAGGAACCTATGCATGAAACAAAGACAGCTTTTATATTATTATATATTAGACAGGTATGTAGCACAGGGTAGGTGGGCAAAAAAAATTCTGTGTTTAATGGTACTTGATTTAAATAAATGTTTAACAATCTTTCTCAATCAATTTTTTCATCCAGTAGGTCAAATGTTGCCCATCCATCATATAACACCCATCGATAAGAAAACGCAGATTTGACAATTAATATTGCAAATAATCTTAATGAAATGCTATTAATAACAATGTGCACTGACTTGGCAGTTAACATTAATTATAAAACACAATGAACATCCACAATACTGGATTAAAATTTTTAAACAAAGCTACAAAAATGTGAAGAGTCCATATGTTTATTTCTGTCCTTTGAGCTTCAGGAGAGACAAAGTGGCACCCCAAATACAGCAGCAGTACTTTAAAACAGTCAGTCTGAGGGAGGGAGTGAGATCAAGTAGTGCATAAGCCACAGCAATCCAAATTCCCTTTAATATAAATAATATAGATAGTCATGTCATCTATTTACTAAAATCTAAGACCATTCCCTCCTGTAAGAATGTTTATGGAGAGCAGTGTACCTAAACTTACCTTCAGAAATGTATATGGCCATGATGAAACATGTATAATCAATAAGTTCTACATAGATCTATAAAGTACATGATCGTGAGGCTGTCTTATTCCTCCCGTAAACATGTTCTCTTTTCTTCAAGAATCTTAAGTTGAGTAACACTGTTCTACATCAATTCATGCACCATTACCAGTTGGCCAGGATTATACATATAAAAATATTAAAAAGGTGCTCCTGTGGAAATAGTTTAGGTCTAAAACCTTCATGACCAGCTTCTAGAAGATGAAAAATTAAAGTCAATGATTGGCGTCTTTGTGCCTTGGACAAAGTAGACATGTCATGGCCAGGTCACGTGCTGAATAACCTTCTTCTTTGCTTCCGTAGGCTTCAAGTCATTCTATAAGAGGAGAATAAATTACTATAGTCCAACATGTTTTACAACTTAGCTTTATAATTGTGATGGACAGTGGAACATGTTGGTGCTATAAAAATGCTAAATATAAGATTCTGAACTTTAATTAAGCAATTAATAAAAACTATTCTCTGACAATGGTACAATAGTGTTAGGAATACAAATCTGTATTCCTAACGCTACAATGTTCCTTTACTACTGAATAGTAATACTCAAGGCACTTCTGACAAACATTAAAACTAAGAATTGTGATATACATACACATAATATATATATATATATATATATATATATATATATATATATATATATTTTAACATCACTGCAGATTTGGGATTTCTGTGGGAAAAGCAAGTCTTATGGCTTGACTGGTGTGCAGATTTTTGTTTAAAATTGTATTAACTATCCACAGACTTCAGGTGGAAGGGGTTTTCAATCACAATTTTTCCCCACCATAACCTAATTGGATTTTGCTTCCCAAGCACTACCAAGCCTCAATAAGCAAACCAGTAACCAACCTCATGCTGAAGAGTTGCATTAACAACGAAACAGCTGTCCATGAGTGGTTCACTGGTTTTGCATCTTTTCCTAAATTGTGTTCCAAGCAGTTGTATACTGCAAACACAGATTAAAAGGAATCCATGTTTAAAATGGAATGAGGCAAAAATGTGATTCTTTGTTAAACTAATTTGCATATGCCCACCCAGAATCCTTTGCGGTTTTAACATCACTGCAGATTTGGGATTTCTGTGGGAAAAGCAAGTCTTATGGCTTGACTGGTGTGCAGATTTTTGTTTAAAATTGTATTAAATATATATATATATATATACACACACACACACACATATATACATACATACATACATACACACACACACACACCTTGATTTCTTAAACCTCAAACCATGACCATACCCTTTACATGTATCAAAAAGCAATGTATTACTTACTTCCACTTCAGGTTCATCTTTTGGAGCAACCCTTTTTATTTTTACAGCTGTCCCTGTTGTTGATTGTTGTGATCCAAGTGTTTTATCAGACTGTACTGTGTTTTCAGGATGACCATTATTACTGACTGTGTTAAATTTGGACGGCCTATTAGGATTGGAGGAGCAAACACGAGGTGCAGGGCTAGTTGGGGATCCTATGTTCCTCGATCCAGTATGTGTACTCTCCATGGAAGAGGGCTGTAGTCGCTGGGCAGTTTCACCATTCTCTGTCTTTTTCACTTTTATTGACGTGCTGGTTGAACTCCCATCAAATACAATAAGTGGTCGTTTTCTTACACCCTCACAACTGGCACTGAAAGAACAATAATAAGTATGACATCATATCATAAATATATCAAGAATTTATACTCTAAATGATAGTAATAAAATTATGCTTTTATTTTTTTTAAAAGAAGAAAATAACATTCATGGTTGCTCTGCGTTTTACTCTGAATCTTCTTGATCATCAGAGGTAAAGGAGGAACATCTACGGCTGTCCTCAGAATTTACATTTAGGCATCTATAACACCATTCATTGTTTCAGGATGTCATAACAATTAAACTATATACAGGATTTGACAAACCCAAGGACCCAGCAATACCAACTTCAAGCTATATGAAAAACTACCAATACATCTATAAAATTCAGATTATCATCTGGATAAATCAGCATTGGCTCATTAAATCCAAACACATGATTTTAAAAGTTAAATTGCGTGTGTATAATTTAAATAAGAAAGGAAAAATTTGCTTTGGATGGATTTAAAGAGTATTGACAATATATTATACATGTAAACATCTAATTTCCTGCTATGTTGCAATATCACATGTATTATAAAATGTACTGCTCCCCTTTTATGTAAGCACAAGCAATGACCATGCCAGAGGATTGATGTAAGATTATTATTCTGCTCCTAATATACTAATTGTTTCACCAGTGTTTAGCTTACTGGCATTTCTGCATAACAAATTAGCATACAAGTGTTTTAATCCCTAGATTCTCCAAGTAAAAAAGACACAGACAACTTTCACTGCTCATTCATTTCCGCTCATTACAATAAAAGGTATTTCTACTTAAAAAAACTAAAAAAAAAAACTTCCAATAAAAGTTACAGAAATGTTATACAGAAACACACACACACGTCACTTTCCAAACCCTGATAACATTTTACACGAGTTGCTTCCTTTGCAAGCAGTTGTCAATTTAATCACACCTGAGCATGGAACCCATAAATGCAAAAAAGAAAAAGTAAAGAAAAAACAAAAAAACATACCAACACTCAGCCTTATTTGATCTCAGTGCATGATAGTTTGTTACAGGTGCCTCATCTCAGGTCCCTATTTAGCCTTGTACTGCAGAGAGCATCAGATGGAATGTTTTCCCCAAGTAAGTGGGTTAATCTCATAAGAGCAGACATTAGGCTGTGAGAGTAGGACCTGCCAAAGATGGGGTACATTGATGTTGTGGCAGGCGTATTCAATGTATGATCATATTATGTAACTAAACCCCCATTATTTTTGGCCTAGATTAGGTGTTTTTAGAAAAAAACTTTTAAAAAAAAAACTAATAAAATCTGTCAACATTAAAGTTGCTGTTTAGTAGATAGGAGATTGCGCTGGATCGTGTGTATTGTTTATTATATATAATATTATCAATGATTATTATTAATGCCATTTATATAGCACCAACAGATTTCGTAGCGCTTTACAATATTATGAGAGGGAGAATGTAACAATAAATAGGACAATTACAAGAAAACTTACAGGAACAATAGGTTGAAGAGGACCCTGCTCAAACGTGCTTACAGACTATAGGAGGTGGGGTATTAAAAACGTTAGGACAGGAAATATTGTTATATATATATATATATATATACACACATACATATATATACACACACATATACATACATATATATATATATATATATATTTTATTTTGTTCTACGTGTATTTTGATATCTATATATATTAATTTTAAAATACAGTTAGAACGAAATTACACATATTTTTTTTTTATTATTTAACGCATTTACACACACACACATATATATATATATATATATATATATATATATATATATATATATATATATATATATATATACACACACACACACTTCGATCATATATATATATAAAATCTGAGTACACACATATATATATATATAAAATCTGAGTACACACATATATATATATATATATAACACAAGATCCAGCGCACTCACCTATCCACTAAACAGCAACTTCAATGTTCATTGACGTTGTGGCAGGCTTATGCAATGTATGATCATATAATGTAACTAAACCCCCATTATTTTTGCCTAGATTAGGTGTTTTTAAAAAAAACTAATAAAATCTTTCAACATTGAAGTTGCTGTTTAGTGGATAGGTGAGTGCGCTGGATCTTGTGTTTTGTATTATTTGGCCCCCAGCAGCACCCCCATTTATGCATGTTCAGGTGAGTGCAGCCAACCCCCCCTTGTTTCATATATATATATATATATATATATATATATATATAAATAAAAATTTAATTTTACTATTTTAAACTTTTTTTTTTTTTACTATTTACAGGCAGCAGGGGGAGTACCTGTCATTACCCCTGCTGACATTGCTATGTTCGGCTATGCCGTCCATGTGATCGTGAGGTTCTCGCGATCACATGGCCCAGGGGGGCCAAAACCAATGGAGGGGGACTCCCTGGGCTGCCAGGTGAGTCCCCATACCGCGATCACCGGCGACTGGGTAAGCTGAAAGGACGTCAGGGACGTGCTATGCCCCCCCGGCGTTGAGAGCCAGGTCCCTAAGGACGGCATAGCACGCCCGCCGTCCTTAAGGGGTTAAACGTCTATCTGTTGAACGGGACTGTTATTATATTAAACTTAATGTATTTGTTTTTTACAAATCCTACTCCATTTATGAAACTTGTGATATTATCTGGAGAACAGCCCTCCGATAGATATGATGTGTACAGTATGGTTATAGCAAAAGACTATGCTCATTACGCTAAAGTTGTTTAGGGACACTAAAGTCACCAAAACAACTTTAGCGTAATGAAGCAGTTCTTGTGTATGGATCATGCCCCTGCAGTCTCACTGCTCAATTATCTGTTATCTAGGACAGTGCTCCTCAACCCCCTCATAAAGGCACACATAACAGTCCAGGATTTAGTGATTACCCAGGTGGGTCTAAGGTGTTTTTAGACTCAAAGGAGTTTATTTTTATTTTTTTTAACATCTTAGACACACCAGGGTAATCCCTAAATTATTGACTGTAAGGTGTGCCTTGAGGAGAGGGTTGAGAAGCACTGATATGAGTTAAATCACTTTGTTTATGCAACCACACTCCCTGCAAATAATGTGCACAGCCTTCCAACAGTGAAAGTATAACAAAAAAACAAAAAACAAAACAAAAGTATCTCCACTTTAAACCAATCAAAAAAGATACATATACTGTATGTGAACATTCCACAGACGTTTAAAAATTCTATAAAGAAATACATGGGTCACTTTCCAAAAACTCTCATCTAATTTTACATAGGTGGCTTCCTTTGCAAGCAGTTTAGTAGAACTGCAGCTTTTGCAAGCTCCTTTAAAATACACCCCGAATGAATACATGCATATCCACTAAACAGTGATTTGTACTTTTTATTTCTCCCTCATTTAGGCAGTGAAGTGTCGTTTTTAAACTCCCATACATGCTTGCTTGGAATTTTCTTGTAGCTCTTCTAACCCCATGCTGTCTATGCTTCTATTAACCAAAGTGTGCCAAATGTGTTTTATACCCCACCTCCTATAGACTGTAAGCTCGTTTGAGCAGGTTCCTCTTCAACCTATTGTTCCTGTAAGTTTTCTTGTAATTGTCCTATTTATAGTTAAATGCCCTCTCTCGTAATATTGTAAAGTGCTACGGAATGTGTTGGCACTACATAAATGTCGATAAAAATACTAACAAGTTGAGGAGGTTTGACGAAGATGCTTTAGGACAAAATAAAACTATAAAAAAAAAAAAAATCAGTTTGCCTGTGAGATAATCTCACGATCACTTGTTCAATCTTCATTTCTTTTTTTTTTTTTTATAAATCCTTCTGCCACCCTTAAAAATACAGGGGAGTTAAAAAAAAAACAAACCTGGATATCACCAAAGATAAAATACACTTTTTGTTTCAATGTCATTACCTTTTCTTTTGTGGTTCTGTTACTTTATTCTGTTCTCTCTTGCTTTCCATTAGCTTCCCCCAGCGACTATTTGGCAATGCTCTCTGAGGCAGAGGCATTGCATGTTGGATAAAGATTTCGGTCAGTCGTTCTTTGTCATTTAATGACTCTTTCACCTCAATATTTT